TATCTTAAGTTTATTAAGGAACCTCTGTACTGTTCTCCATAATGGTGGTACTAATTTACATTTCTACAAGAGTTCCCTTTCCTCCACATCATTGCCAGCATTCATTATTGCCTGTCTTTTAGATAAAAGCCACTTTTACTGGGGTGAGATGATTTCTCACTGTAATTTTGATTTGCATTTATCTGATGATCAGTGATGTTGAGTACCTTTTCACCTGTTTGCCATTTGTTTGCCTTCTTTTGAGAAATGTCTGTTCAGATCTTTTGCCCATTTTTAAATCAGGTTATTAGATTTTTTACTATTGAGTTATATATATATATTCTGGTTATTAATTCCTTGTCAGATGGATAGCTCACAGATATTTTCTCCCATTCTGTGGATTATCTCTTTACTTTGTTGATCATTTCCTTTGCTGGGCAGAAGCTTTGTATGATGACTTAATGTGATCCCATTTGTCTGTTTTTGCGTTGATTGCCTGTGCTTTGGGGATATTTAACAAAAAAATCCTTGCTTAGACCAATATTCTAGGGAGTTTCCCCAATGTTTTCTTTTAGTAGTTTCATAGTTTGAGGTCTTAGATTTAAGCCATTAATTCATTTTGATTTGATTTCTGTATATGGTGAGAGATCAGGGTCTAGTTCATTCTTCTGCATGTGATAGCCAATGTTTTCTCAGCACCATTTATTGAAGAGATCATTCTTTCCTTCAAGGTATGTTCTTGGCACCTTCATTGAAAACCAGTTCACTGTAGTTATGGATTTATTTCAGAGTTCTCTATTCCATTGGTCTGTGTGTCCATTTTTATGCCAGTATCATGCTGTTTTGGTTACTGTAGCTCTGTAGTATAAGTTGAAGTCAGGTAATGTGACCTTCAGTTTTGTTCTTTTTGCTCAGGATGGCTTTGGCTATTCAGGGTCTTTTGTGGTTCCATATAAAGTTTAGGATTAATTTTTTCTATTTCTGTGAAGAATGTCATTGGTATTTTGATACCAATAGGATTGCATTGAATCTGTAGATTGCTCTGGGTGGGTGTGGATATTTTATCAGTATTGATTCTTTCAATCCATGAACATGGTATGTCTTTTCCATTTTTTGGTGTCCTCTTCAATTTCTTACATCAAGTTTTATAGTTTTCACTGTAGGGATGGTGCACTTCTTTGGTTAAGTTTATTCTTAGGTATCTTATTTGTAGCTATTGTAAATGGGATTACTTTCTTGATTTCTTGTTCATATTGTTCACTATTGGCATATGGAAGTGCTACTGATTTTTGTGTGTTGATCTTGTATCCTGTGGCTTCGCTGAATTTGTTTTTTGGTGGAGTCTTTAGGTTTTTCCAAATATAAAATCATATCATTGGCAGATAAGGATAATTTGACTTTTTCCTTTCCAATTTGGATGCCCTTCATTCCTTTCTTTTGTCTGATTAGTTAGGACTTCCAGTACTATGTTGAATAGCAGTGATGAAAGTGGGCATCCTTGTGCTGTTCCAATTCTTAAAGAATGGGCTTTCAATTTTTCCCAGTGCCGTAAATGCACTGGGTCACAACTGAAGTCGGCATTTCCCTGGGTCTCACCCAAGGACTGCAGGAAGTAGTGCCTGAGTGTCACTTGTGTGTACTCAAGGCCCAAGGGCTCTTTACTGAGCAAGTGATGAATCCTGCCAGGTCTGAGTCCCTAGTCTTTCTCTTCAAGGTTCCCTACTGGCTCAGGGAGTGTTTAGAGATGTCATCCAGGAGTTAGGGCCTGGAATATGTGTATCATGACTCTACTTGGTACTCTGTTTTACTGTGGCTGAGCCAGTATCCAGGTTGCAAGATAAATTCCTCTTTACTCTTCCCTCTCCTTTTTCTCTTGCAGAACAAAGGGGTCTCCCACAGCTGTAAGTTGTGCTGCCTGGGACTGTGCAGGGGGTGACACAAGTAATTCCTTGGCTGCCCCAGTTACTCTCTCACCAGGTTGTATGTATCCCAAGTCTGCTGGCTCCAAGCGCAGCACAGCACTGCGACTTATCCAAGAATTGCAGTCCTTGTGGATTAGACTGCTTTTCAAGTTTATTTAGGACCCCAAATTGCTTTAGCCCATGATAGTGAGGCTGGCTGGAACTCAGGTTCTGGACCACTGGAATGGGCAATTTCCCTCTGGCTGGGGCTGGTCAAATGCCCTCTTCATGGGTGCTGGCTAAATTCTATTCTATGTTGTTCCACTGTGACAGGGTAGCACTGAGTTCCTATCCAAAACAAAGTGCCACATTCACTGTGTTCTGTCTCCCTCAGGCGCACAGATTTCTCTTTCCATGCCAAGAGGCCACCGCCTGAGGAGTTGGGGGGAGGTGCTATCAGCAATTCATGACTGTCTTTCTACCTTCTTCACTGCCTCTTTACTTGACAGGTTGTTAAAACCAAGTACTGTGATTGTTCTCCTGACTTTTTATTCTGATGAAGGTGCTTTCTTGTGTGGATAGTTCAATTTGGTGTTCCTGCAGGGGGTGACAATTCCTGGACGGTTCTATATGGCCATCTTGCTACACTCAAATCACATTTATTTTTTTAAATATTAAATGTCTAATTGTATCCAGACAGCTAGCTTGTTATGCCAGCACATTTTTCACATAGAGTTTTTTCCCCACACTGAATTTCCCCATGTCTTTCATGTTCCCCTGTGTTAATATCATACAGTTTTGATTATTGTTGCTGTAGAAGATCTTGTCAGGGCAGATCTTACTCAACTTCGTAATTGTCTTGTCTGTTCTTAATCCTTTAAAAAAGCTCTCCCATGTTAATTTTAGATTGTTTTGTTTCTGTGAAGAACCCCCTTGGGATATTATTAGGAATTCAACAAATTCATAGACTAGTTTAAGAACATATGTCTTTCCACATACATATATGTATATGTATGTATGTCTTTCTATATCAAATTGTCTCATCTACAGCACATTTCTCATTTTACTTGGTCTTCTTTTATGTCCTTCAATAACGTTTTATCTTTTTTGGAAAATTGTTGTATGTCTTTTGTTATATATATTCCAGGTGTCTTATAATTGTTGCAGTTGTGTAAGGTTTAGCTTTCAAAAATTACATCTTCTAATTGCTGGCATTTAGGAACTTCTCTGACATTTATTTATCCATCTTGTATCCAGCAAGTTTTGATTTTTTTTTTTTTTTTTTTTTTTGGTAACCACCAGCATTTGAAACACCTATAGCAACTTTTATTAGTGCTGATAGTTTAGATGTATTTTCCCTCAGATTTTCAATGTATATATAGAGTTATCATGTATAAGTAACTATTACTTTTTTCCACATTTATTTTTTTCCATGTCTTAGTGCACTGCCTAAGAATTCTCAGTATTCTCCCTTTTTAAGAATTTTTGTAGATTGAAATAGTTTATTTATTGAAGATTTGGTATATCTCACCTGTAAAACCATTGTAGAGTCTGGTTTTTTGGGCGGATTTTGTATGTTAGAGGGTGAGAGGTAAGAGAGTAGATTTAAACCACTGGTTTAATTTCCATAATTGGTATAGGTCTAACCAGGCTTTCTATTTTTTTTTTTTTGAGTCAGATTTTTACATCATTTTTTTTTCCTAAGAAATTATCCATTTAATCTGATTTTTCCATGTTTTTGGCATAAAGTTGTTCACAGTATTATTCTAACACCTTTGACACACCCACTTTTACTCCTAATACACTTTACTCATACCTTCTCTGCAATTTTTTATCATCCCTGCGAAGATTGTCTATTTTATTATTAGTTTTAAAGAGCTGACTTGATTTTATTGATCTCTCAATTTTTTGTTTCAAAATAAGGTGTTTTTCAGTTTTTTGGTTTTTTTGTTCATTTGTTCTGATTAAAGTCCTCAACCCAGCTATGTCCTAGGATATATTACCTCAAAAGTGTTTCTTTCTGAAATGGTTAACTCTTTTAAAAGCTAGAAACCCTTAAAGTCTGATTAAGTACCCGAAGCAGGAAAACAGCTGTTTTCCAGTTAGCTGTCATGTAACTGCCTGTCATTTTTTGGTGTATAGTCTTTTTATTCCCCTACTAGTTTGTTTTTTAAATTCTCTCTCTCTCTCCTCATGGCTGGGTTATAATATGAGATTCATTTTATCTTGTTCTTACAATTATGTAATCTCTCCAAGAATTAGACCCTCTGTAAAACGCACATGTTGAAAGACTAATATTTTTTGATATCTTGAAAATATAATTATTGTGACATATAATGAATTGAAAGTTTTCTGAGAAATATATAATTAATGTAAAATGAACTTTTTAATTACTTAACCATTTCTTTGTACTTTTATAGCACTTAAAAATATTTCTGCTCAGTTCTGACAATGAAATGGGTAACCACAACTACAGTTCACAAACAGGCATGAAAAACCAACACATACCCCATTAGGAATTACACCAAACTTTTCCTTTTTTATGCATTTGAGAGTCCAATACACAAGTGTCAAGTAATGCGCACTATCAAGTTTTTTTTCTTAGAAGAGTTGAAAAACATTTATTTTAAATTTGTTGTTTTTGAATCATAGAGAATAAAGAATTTTAGTATTAAAATAAGACAGTTTATCTTTTCACTTTATGTATTTTAATATTCAGTGATTTTTATCAGTGATATAGCTACACACATTAGGTAGGATTAAAGAGATTATAAATATTTGGTGATTTATATATTCAGTGTTTTGATGAATGCATGTGACTGGCTAAATATTTCTGTGGCTTTTTATTATGTTTTTTATTTGGCATGCATCATTAACATTTTGAAATTTAAAATAGGTTTATATGGTAATGCTTCTAAATTTACACAAATTCTAAATGATAAATTTTAGATTTAGGCTCTTGCTTTAACTTTTTTTATTCTTTGTCAAATTAAGGTCACACCAGACACAAACTGGAAGAAGCTCTTATTAATGAAGAAGCAATTTTGAACCTCATGGAAAATAGTCAGACTTTTCAGCCTTTGACCCAGAGACTGAGTGAGTCACCTGTTTTCAGTAAGTAACAGTGCTACCATAAATATTCAGTATTATAATTCAGAGACAATGTGTTGTGAAGAGCTGTTTTTTCATTGACTTGAAGAGGTAAATGTTGCATGTTCAATAAATACTCTACTGAATATGAAAATGAAACCTTGCATTAAATCAAGTAGCTTATAGTTTTAAAAAAAAATTTGTGAAAGAATAATTTTTTTAACTTTACTTTGATTTGGAAGAAACCATATTACTTTAGAAGGAAAATGCGTGTATTTTGAATTAACATTTTGCAAAGTTCAGTACATTACCAAAACACCATAAGTGGCTCTTAGTAATCACAAATTTCACTGGAAGGGACACGGGTGGCTAGGGCCACAGTCCTGGCCTCCTCAGCTTGTGGGCCAGGGCTGTGTTCAACCAGCCCTTCAGTGCCTCCCGCTGAGTGGCAGCTCAGACTTCCTGGAGCCACTGCCAGCCTTCCCTGGCAAGGCCTCCCCACTAGGGGCCGACAGTGCTGGCTGTCCCCATGGCCAAGACCCTGTGTAGTCCCAGGCAGCCGTGGCTGGAGCACACAACATGTTTTTGTTCACTGCAGAAAGAACCACAAGCAAGAGGAAGAGTGTAAGGGTTATTGCTGAGTTTAAAATGAGGAAACTGAGGCCAGTATAAGAAAATGAAAATCCAATTTATTCAGTTCCCAGGCGAGGTTCCATGGTCCCGGGGAAAGGGGCCAGGGAAGTCACACCAACTTCCTGGGGCGTAGGGTTTTTATAGGTAGGAGGAACGAGCAACAGCTGGGTGCTCTGATTGACTCCAGGGGAGCGGGATTGAGACTGGGCAGGTTTTCCGGTGGGAGAGCCGGCCAGGAGCCTTGCATCAGCTGGAGCCTTCCAGGGGAGCCATGCAGCAAAGCTAGGTGCCGAGTGCAGAGCCTGTTGCCGGGTGCAGAGGTGGGTGTGTCCAACCTCCCGACAAGGCAACTGGCCTTACAAAGAGGATGGTGATTGTCCACTAAAAAAAGGCTAACTGAAGCAGAGCCCTATGCTGGTTCTAATGACTAGATTATTTTTGCACATCAAGATGGAGAGGGTCATGTAGTAGATCTCTGCACTAGTGGCCTTTTTGTACCTGCAATGTAAGATGTTATATGTGAAAAAATGGAGCAGATGATGGGAGAACAACTGTGAAATTGCCAGAAGGGAGCTTTAGATTAAGGACAGGATAACTGACAAAGATGAAGTTGAAGCTGACAGAAATGTTAACCATCTCCCCAGTCTTGCCCTTTCTGATATCATGAAAACAGATTTGGAGAATAATTTGATGAGTTGTTAACAAAGAAAATAATTGAGTCCATGAGCTGCCCTTCCATGTACCTTGTTCTTTGGAAACCTTTCCCTGGACTTTCCAATAAGCCAAAGCCATCCTCTAATGCTAAAAACTGCACAGGAGAGAGCCAAACTAAGTGTGCAGCTACTGGCACTGCCTTCCCTTGGAAAACTGAGCTGTTCTTGGAACATCAGTGAACAGGGATATCTCTTTTTGATAGTTTAGGCTGGGCCTGGTGGCTCACAAGTGTAATCCCAGCACTCTGGGAGGCCGAGGCAGGTGGATCACTTGAGTCAGGAGTTTGAGACCATCCTGGCCAATATGGCAAAACCCCCATCTCTAATAAAAATACAAAAATTAGCTGGACATGGTGGTGCATGCCTATAATCCCAGCCACTTGGGAGGCTGAGGCAGGAGGATCACTTGAACCCAGGAAGCAGAGGTTACAGTGAGCCAAGATCACACCACTGCACTCCAGCCTGGGTGATGAAGCAAGACTCTATCTTACACACACACACACACAAAAAGCACATTCCCCAGCTATACCCTAGAAATTCTGATTCAGTGGATGTGGGTTGGAATTGAGAATGTTATTTTAATAATGTCCCTAAATTACTGTAATGCAGGTGGTCCAGGAATCAACTTTGATGGGAGAGCTACATCAACACCTGAACCTTTGTACCAACTGTATTCTTTCAGCCTGTGCCAGTATCTGTTATGTTGTTGTTATTTTATTATAAGTGATCTGAATTGTTGGATTATTAAGAAAATTTAAGTTATTCGTTGGTGATTATCGTACTTGTTTTATAGTGGACAGTAGTCCTGATGAGGCTCTGGTACATCTTCTTGCTGGTTTGGAAAGTGATGGATATCAGGGGGAAAGAAATAGGATGCCATCACCATGTCGCTCCTTTGGAAATAATAAATATCCCCAAAATAGTGATGATGAAGAAAATGAACCACAGATTGAAAAAGAGGAAATGGAGCTTAGTTTGGTGATGTCCCAGAGATGGGACAGCAATATTGAAGAACATTGTGCCAAAAAGAGGTAATTTTTTAGTTATTTCAGTTGTTTTATTACTTTCTTTTATCATTATCCTTGTCTTTCAATCAGAAATTACTTATTACTATTCTTCATGATGTAAAATACCTTATGAACTAGATTGACGTTTTAAAATTCATTTTTAGTGGTCTCTTTTTCATGTGGCATATACTCCATATTTCAAGCAAAACAAAGTTTTGCTGCATTTAAAAAGATAAACCTAACTTTTAGAAGTCATCCATTTATGTACACAGTATTAATATATATAAGTAATAAATAGGGTAAAATTGAAGTGCCTTTCTATCTCAGAACTTGACAAAAAGAATGCCCTGTGATAGTTGAACTGGTGTATATCAGAGCAACAATGTACAGAGTCAGCCTGAAGACAGGGAATGGCTTTAGGGTCTGATTAGACTAATGGAATTAAGGTTAAAAACAAATAAATAAAAGACTGAGAAGCAAACATTGGTATTCTGGTTTGTTTCTCAAAATAAATGATTAAGTTGATGCCGTGGTTTTCTCAGTCAGTCTCTGTGAACTTGATTGGTTCAAGTCTGCCCTTTAGTTATATGCTCTGTGTATGGAAAAATCTAGGCCTGTGAGCCTGAAAGACTGAGTATGCCTCTCCTTAAACTTCTGTAGGCTAGATTAGAACTTTTTTGGACTAAATTTTCAACCCAAAACCCATCACTGAAAGATGAAAGAGGTTAATCCATAAATTCAGTGTTTACATGTAAATGACAAAAGTTAATTTTTCTTCTTAATACATCAGCTATAGAAATCTCCAGATATGATGTTAAATTCTTTCCTCTAACATTGTTGCTGCTGTAATAATGGGCATAGTTACCCTGTGATTAAATTTATGCGTATATGCTCATTGGCTGAACCAATTTGGTGAAAACTATGCCCAGTTTAACCTTGAGAAAACAAACCTAAACATGTTGTACATGTATATTAGAGAGACATTGAATACTAGAAGCACAGTATCTGGAAAAGGATATAGTTAATTCTACTCTGTATATTTGATATCATAGTCTGTGCTGAGTACCATATTTTAAGAATACTGGGGAAGAAAACTAGAAGGATCTGTGAGCACTGTCACTTTTGAAGAACTTCTGAATAGAGAATGTTTAATCCGAATTACAAGATAAATGGGAAATGCCTTTACATATTTTAAAGATTATCATGTGGAAAATGGCATCAACCTGCCCTGTATAGCTAGAGAGAACAAAATAGAACCATGTATGGAAGTTGAACGATTTTGTGTATTACAAGCACACAAGACAACTATTAACAATTAAAGCCATTAACAATGGAAAGATTGCCCTGTGAGACAGCAATCCCCTTATATAGATTATGTAAAAACAGAGAGTGTCTCAGGTTGGTTAAAAATTGGGTTTTTGCATTGGGTAGAAAGGTGGACTAGACCTCTGATGTCTCTTTCAGCTCTGACGGGAGTGATTTTTATGATGAATTGTGATTTGGAGAGGCTTAATGGAAAAACAGTTCCAGTGTAATAAATATAATAAAATAGTAATTTCAAATTTTTGAGATTAGAGACAGAAAAAATTGGGTATGAATAGAAAAAAGTTTGCCCGTTCAGTTAAAATGGAAAGCATCAAGTTAATTAATATCAATATGAGACAAAATTTAAAGAGACTGGACTCACAGTCCATCTGAATTTCTCAGTAACCCTAGCTATTGTCAGATTGACTGAACACCTTTACTACTTCCGTCTCTCATCTTCAGTATATTCTCTTCAGCCTGACCTCAGTGCCCCTTCACTCATCTCTGTTCTTGTTTCTTCCAATTCAGAATGCAGGAATTGTGGTGTATTTTAGCTCATGTGAAAAGGATTATAAAGTTTATTTACAATAACTCTAAGTTACTATAGTAAGACTTGTTAACAAAGCAAAGTAAATATGCCTTTCTAGAATTTACAATTTTCAGATTTTTTTATTGTTTTACTATAGAGTAACTTAGATACATTATAGAGTTAACTTAGATACAATATTAGAGTTAGCTTAGATACATTATTATAGAGTTAACTTAGACACATTATTTACATCTGAGGTGGCCTTTTCTAATGATCATACTCACCAGTGAATTTTAATATTCTCCAGATCACTGTGCAGAAGTACCCACAGAAGTTCAACTGAAGATGATGACTCATCTTCAGAAGAAGAAATGGAATGGAGTGATAACAGTTTGCTTCTAGCCAATCTTTCTATACCTCAGTTAGATGGAACTGCAGATGAAAATAGTGGTAAGTAAACAAGTCTACTGTGAGAAATTGGCTATTTAGGATCTAAGATATATTTGATTTTGAGGCCAGGTGCCCTGATTCACACCTATAATCCCAGAACTCTGGGAGGCCAAGGCGAGAGGATCACTTGGATTCAGGAGTTTCAGACCAGCCTGGGCGACATAGTTGGAGACTGTCGCTAAAAAACTAAAAAAAAAAAAAAAAAAAAAAAAAAATTAGCTCGGTATAGTGGTGCATGCCTGTAGTCCCAGCTACTCAGGAGGCTGAGGTGGGAGGATAACTTGAGCACAAGAGTTTGAGGCTGCTGTGAGCTGTGATTGCTCCATGGCATTCCAGCCTGGGCAACAGAGCAAGACCCTGTCTCCCAAAAATAAATAAATAAATAAATACAATTTTGAAACTGTAATTATATTTTCTATACAGTTGGCTAAGTAAGGCTATAGTGATGTTTTGTTCTTCACGACTTTTGAAAGAATGTAGATATATGATTTGTTTCTCATTTCTAGAAGGACATAACATTTGTTGATCACTGATTTCAAGCTTTTAAACTGTAATGTTATTGTGTAAGTAGAATAAGAAACTAAAAAATATGCTTAGTTTATTTGAAGTGATAATGTAAAACATATTATTTTACAAACATTTTTAAAGTGACAGTATTTTTCCCTTATTCTCCAAAGGCACTGAATAGTAATATAATCTATTACTAATAATTGTAACTAACTATATTTAGATTGAGTTATTAATGATAAGGATTACCTTTTTGTTAAGATAATCATTTTAAACATACAAACTTAATTTTATGTAATTTTTTTCATAGCGATAGTATTAATATCTTGATGTGGGAAAATGTCTTAAAAATTAAGAGTAAAGTGAAATAAATTATTCTTTCCTCCTCATTTCAGACAATCCATTGAACAATGAAAATTCTAGAACGCATTCTTCTGTAATTGCAACAAGCAAGCTATCAGTCAAACCCTCCATCTTTCACAAAGATGCTGCTACATTAGAACCCTCATCTTCTGCTAAGTTTACCTTTCAGTGTAAACACACAAGTGCCCTTTCTTCCCATGTTTTGAACAAGGAAGATTTAATTGAAGACCTTTCACAGACAAACAAAAATATAGAAAAAGGTCTAGATAATTCAGTCACTTCTTTTACAAATGAAAGCACTTACTCTATGAAATACCCTGGATCTTTAAGCAGTGGTGTTCATTCAGAAAATTCTCATAAAGAGAATAGTAAGAAAGACATCCTCCCAGTATCTTCATGTGAAAGTAGTATTTTTGATTATGAAGAAGATATTCCATCTGTTACAAGACAAGTACCAAGTAGAAAATATACAAATATTAGAAAAATCGAAAAGGATTCCCCTTTTATACATATGCACCGTCACCCTAATGAGAATACATTGGGCAAAAATTCTTTCAACTTTTCTGACTTAAATCATTCAAAAAATAAATTATCCTCTGAAGGAAATGAAAAAGGAAACAGCACAGCTCTGAGTAGTTTATTCTCTTCATCATTTACTGAAAATTGTGAATTGCTGTCATGCTCAGGGGAGAATAGAACTATGGTGCATTCTCTTAATAGCACCACTGACGAAAGTGGACTAAATAAACTTAAAATTAGATATGAAGAATTTCAAGAACATAAAACAGAAAAGCCAAGCCTCAGCCAGCAAGCAGCACACTATATGTTTTTTCCCAGCGTTGTTCTTTCTAA